CCTTGCCTCATTCATCCAGCGCACCGTCATGTCAAACTTTTGCAGGCCACATCTCCCATGTAAGTACGGTGTCTGCTCTGGCCCATGAAACATTACGGCAGCCTTCTTAACCAGGGATGGGCTTCAAAAAATTTAACAACGGGTTCTCTGCCCGGTCGCTGGGTAGGAATGGCCATGGTGGGCGTGGCCTATTTGGCCTCCTGCACCACAGCGGGGTGTGTGTGTGTTTTTGCCCTCTCTGGGCTCCGGAGGCTTTCCTCAAGCCTCTGGAAGGGCAAAAACCAGAGGTGGTATCCAGCAGGTTCTGACCAGTTCTGGAGAACCAGTAGCGGAAATTTTGAGTCATTCGGAGAACCGGCAAATCCCACCTCTGACCTGCCCCCGCCAACCCCATCTATTCTCTGCCTCCTGAGTCCCAGATGATTGGCTGGGTCTTCTTTGGTTGCTCTGCATGGGAGAACGGAGCTGAAAAGCAGGTTAGTGGGGTGGGGAGGGAATGGAAATTTTACAGTATCCTTCCCCTGCCATGCCCACTAAGCCATGCCCACTAAGCCATGCCCACCAAGCCACGCCCATAGAACGGGTAGTAAAAAAAATTGAATCCCACCATTGGCGAAAACGGGCTCCCCGGGCTCCGGAGTCTCTCTGGAAGCCGGAAACAGGCCGATTTCTGGCCTTCCCAAACTTCCAAGAGGCCCATTTTTCGCTCTCCCTGAGCCTTCATGCGCCCCCTGCACTTCCCTGCCTCCAAAACAGGCCACGTGGGGACTCCTGGGAGGGGAGGGGAGGGGTGGGCAGGGCCAGCCAGGAGTGAGATTTGTGGGTTCCTCCGAATCGCACAGAATCTTAGCTAGGGGCTCTCCTGAACCCCTGCGAACCCCCCCAGCCCCCCCCCCCCCCCCCTTCCTTAACCCTGTTCCTCCGTCTCCTACCCAGCTGTGGTCTGGGTTGCCTCTCGTTTCTCTCCCCGACCCTTTTGGGAATGTCTTCCCTGCTTCTTAGGAAAGTACCGTTTCTGTTGCTAAGCAAAGCATTTGCTAAGCGAATTTCGCCCCATTTAATGACCTTTCTTCAACCACCGTTGTTAAGTGAGTCACTGCAGATGTTAAGTCGGTACAGGTAGTCCTCGACTTACAACAGCTCACGTGGTGACCCTTCGAAGCTACAGCAGCGCTGGAAAAGGCGACCTATGACCGTTTTTCACACTTACAACCATGGCCGCATCCCCCATGGTCCCATGATCAAATTCGGATGTTGGGCAACTGATTCATATTTACAACGGTTGCAGTCACGTGATCCCCTTTTGTGACCTTCTGACAAGCAAAGACAATGGGGAAGCCCGGATTCACTTAGCGACTGTGTAATTAATCTAACTGCCCTCAGGGATTCATTTAACGAACGTGGCCGAGAAAAGCCGTAAAAAATGGGACAAAACTCACTTAACAAGTTAATCTACTCTTTTCTGCCCATTCCAATATTTTCTTAATCACCTCCTCCTCCCCCAGAATCTTTTTGTTCTTCCAATTTTGAGCAAATACAGTTCTAGCTGCTGTTAATATATGTATAATTAAATATATATATATATTCTTTACTATAACTCTCAGGTAGGATTCCCAGTAAAAAATATCTCAGGCTTTAAGTCTATATGTTGTTTTATCATCTTTTCCAATCATGTATGTATTTTTGTCCAATATCTTTTAGCTAGTTCTTAGGGAGATTAATGGTGTGAAACTACATAGTAATTTTTAGTCGTTGGTCAGATCTTCAGATTCTTTTAGAAAATGCTTGATGAAACACTAAACTGTTTCTTGTTACTATCAAGGGAAATAGTTGGTTAGGGAAAGGCCCTTTGTGTGTGTGTGTGTGTGTGTGTGTGTGTGTGTGTATGTGTGTGTTTCACTAATCAAAATCCATCTTTCCATTCAGATGCCCTCCAAGCTTAATTACACCAAGGAGGATCCATTGCGAGATTTGAAACAACTCCTTCAAGAGTTACGAAGTACAATTGATGAAATTCCTTCTGCGATTCTCCCCAAAACAGAAAGTGACAGCGATCCTGACTTGAGCAGTACGCTGTAAGGATATGCAAAATATTGGTAACTTCTGTGTTTAGGATTCTCATTTTGGAAATGAATGACCTATAGGCAAAGGGGACTTTGCCAAGGATAATCACAGACATCAATGGACGTCTCACCTACGCTGAGTTTGTGTTAATCCATTGAGATTAAATTTTCCAAATTGAGCTCGGTCTGTCTTTACTTCCTGGATACCCCCCTGTTGTTGTTCTTGGCAATGGTTGAAAGATGACTTGCCAATGTCTTCTCCTGGGATGTTTTTGTGATGCCCTTGTGTTTTTCATGGCAAGTACAGGTAGTTCTCGGCTTACAACTATTCATTTAGTGACTGTTTGAAGTTACGGCACTGAAAATACTGACTTTTGAAGTTACGGCACTGAAAAAAGTAACTTAGGACTGTTTTTCACACTTACGACTGTTGCAGCATCCCTCTGGTCACGTGATCAATATTCAGACTCACATTTATGACGGTGGCAGTATCCCAGAGTCATATGATCACGTTTTACGACCTTCTGACAAGCAAAGTCAATGGGGAAACCAGATTCACTTAACCAATGTGTTACTATCTTAACGACTGCAGTGATTCACTTAACAAATATGGCAAAAAATGTAATCAAATGGGGCAAAACTCATTGAACAAATGACTCACTTAGCAACAGAAATTTGGGGCTCCATTGTGGTCGTAAGTCGAGGACTGCCAGTATTAACCAGATCCAAGCTTTCATAACTCTTTGAGATCAATCAAGATGGCTAGATGTTGCGTCCTAGCTGGATGGGTGGGTGGATGGATGGATGGATGGATGGATGGAAGGAAGGAGAGAGGTATGGTATATACACAAGCGCACACATAAGGTTTAATAACCTAGATCTCCCTTTGACAGAATTTTGTTATCAGTGTTGAGAAATTCTCAAAACTCTGAGATCTATTTCCACATGGAACAGAAATCTGGCTAGATGAAGACGTGGTGCAATCCAATGTAGGAGAAATTCATGTCATCATAGGGATGATAAGAGTAGTATCATGGAACAGCTGTTTAAACCTCTCAGCTGAGTAGTAGGAGACCATGGAGTAAGGCAGGATTATCCAACCGTGGCAACTTTAAGACCTGTGGACTTCAACCCCCAGAATTCCCATGCTGGCTGGGGAATTCCGGGAGATGAAGCCCACAAGCTGCCAAGGCTGCCGGACACCCTCGGAGTAGGGTATGTGGTTGAACTTATATTTTCCATTATCACTCGCCAGAAGCCATAGACAAAGCACCTGCACCACAGAAAAGAGAAAAGAGGCGAATTCTGCTACCTGGGCATACATTACAGGTGTTCTACTCCTGTTGACAAAGAGCTTTGTGTTTCTATTTTTATAACTGTGGGAGGTCATTTTGCCTACCTTTTGCCTTTTGTCTAGTCCAGAAGTCTCCAAACTTGGCAACCTTAAGACTTGTGGACTTCAACTCCCAGAATTCCTCAGCCAGCTATGCTGCCTGAGGAATTCTGGGAGTTGAAGTCCACAAGTTTTAAAGTTGCCAAGTTTGGGCATCCCTGGTTTAGTCTGTGGCCTATTTCCAGATGCTACAGATCCTGATTATTCGCTGTTAGCACTGTTTTTTATCTTGCAAGCAGTAATTGAGGAAGCTTCTTTTTTAATTAGTTTATAAAATACAATCCAAAAATCCAAAAAGAAAATTATAGGAAAAATAGGGGAGGGAAAAGGAAAGGGGAAAGTGTAGAAAAGAGGGAAATAAGAAAGGAAAGGAATTGACTTCCGACTCTCTTTGATGCACTAGAATATGATGATAACATCAGACCTCAACTTTTTACTTTTATATAAATAATATATACCAGCCATTTCTATAATGACAAACTTATCTAATCAGAAAAACCCAAAATCAAAGTTTCATTTTCTCCCCCACTTGAGCACAAAAAGTCCAGAAGTGGTTTCCACATAGAAACAAAAGTAATTGTGATTTGTTCTTTGACCAAAGCAATCAGTTTAGCCATCTCTGCTAACTCCCATCAATTTTTGCCGTCATTCATCTATGGTGGAAATCACGGCGTCCTTCCATTTTCGTGCATAAAATGGTCTCGGTGTCGACAACATATATAATAACGTCAATGTTCCAATTTTTTCCCCCCGAATCTTTTTAATTGGGGAAGGGTCTTGCTTGTTATTGATTGTTCCCTTTTGCTTCATTCCGCATCGGTGATATCAGCTGGAGTCTGGATTGCTCTTGAAAATGGATTTAGAGCAGGGGTATCAAACTCAAGGCCCATGGACCAGATCCGGCCCATGGGGCGCTTAAATCTAGCCCGCAGGGCCACCCTGGAAACAGGGATGGGATGGCCTGCGGTGGCTCTGCCAGCAAAAACCAGAGCTTGGGAGGGCCCATTTTCAGCCGGGACGGCCTCCTGCAGCCATCTGCCCTGGTTGCTGGGTGGGCATGGCCTAGTCAGCCTCCTGCACCACCCAGGCCTGGGAGCAAAAACGAGCCACGGGGGGGCCATTTTCACCCGCCCCAGGCTCCGAAGGCTCTCTGGAGGCTGGAAATGGGCCCATTTCTGGCCTTCCCGAACTTCTGGGAGGCCCATTTTTTCACCCTCCCTGAGCCTCCATGCAGGCCCAGCACTTTCCTGCAATCCAAAACAGGCTGCGTGGGGACTCCTGGGAAGGCCAGCGTGGGATGGGCGGGACCAGGGTGGGGTGGGATTTGCCAGTTCACCAAAATTGCCATAAAATTAACAACCAGTTCGCCTGAACCGGTGTGAACCGGTAGTAGCCCACCCCTGTACACCATGCGCTAACGAAGCCACCACTCAGCTATATCTCTTTTCCCAGTCAGGAACCCACTTTGTATAAGACAGTGAATGACTACCCAAAACTGTGTCAATAATATGATGTATTACGTGGTGTTTGCATTCCCCCCCCCCCCATTCAGTGACTTTACTAGCAGAGAAAACATTGGCAGAAGATCACATGACCCCTGCAGGTAAGGCTCTGAAATTTTGACCTGGAAGATCAAAATATTCTAACTGAGCCAGATGAAAGAAAATGTGTCTTTTTCCCTTTTTCCTTTTGCGTTTCTAGCACCGCATGTTTTTATGTATTTTTATGGGGTATCAAACATATTTTGAACATTAACGGCCTATCCAGAATGCTGTTATGGAGAAAATTTAAAAAAGATATTCTCTTTAGCCTTCACTCGTCCCACATTAAGGGTACAATTACAGATTCTGTGGTATCCTTGGTGCTCTCCGAGCGTAGCGGTTTTCTTGCAGACGTTTCACTACTAAACTCAGCTAGCCCTGATGATGTTACCTAGTTGGGTAATGAAATGTCTGCAAGAAAACCACCAAGTTCAGAGAGCACCAAGGAACCCCAAAGTTCAACCCTGAGCTTTCGATGTTCTTTTCTCACAGCTATAGATACATCTTGCATCTATAGATACATCTTTCTAAGATAGTAGAATTTCTCCCACAATGAAAGCAAAGCTTGTTCCAGAAATGCCCCTCAAAAAGTTCCATTTTAGGGAAGCATCATTTCCCAGGCGAATGGAAAAGTCATCAATTCTTATTTCAATTACTGGCTGATGGGTTGGAAGCAAACATCTTCTTGTGGGGGCTTTTAGAGTCTGGTCCCTGCTAGCTAAAGAAATAATCAGGGAACGAAAACTGCCTTGGTTAAGGACATCCTAAGCAAGGTTCTTTCAGAAACTGGCTTGGTTTGGTTCATATTTTACACCGAGGAGACTGGGCCAATCCTGGGATTCCATAAACCTCCTCGTTTTTCTCAAAGGAGCTTCTTCGCTTGCTTTGTCGTTGTTATCATATATTTATTTCACCAATAATCAGCTTTCTTTGATGGCTTTCACAGAGTTCTATCTCTCGATACAGGGAGGCTGCAGTCAGAGACTTACCTTCAGAGGTGACCAGGGGGCAAGAAGCCTTTAGCAGGTGAGAAGTGATGCTTGGTTTGGTCCTTTGACCCAGCAAAGGCATCAACTTGTCGTTAATAGTACAATTTGAACATTACTACCAGTGGTAGGATTCAATTTTTTTTTTACTACCGGTTCTGTGCCGTGGCTTGGTGGGCGCGGTGTGGTTTGGTGGGCGTGGCTTGGTGGGCGTGATAGGGAAAGGATATTGCAAAATCCCCCTTCCCTCTCCACTCCTGGGGGAAGGTTACTATAAAATCCTCATTCCCTCCCCACCCCACTAACCTGCTTTCCAGCTCCGTTCTCCTGTGCAGGGCAACAAAAGAAGACCCAGCCAATCAGCTGGGACTCGGGAGGCGGAGGATAGATGGGGGCGGGGCCAGTCAGAGGTGGTATTTGCTGGTTCTCTGAACTACTCAAAATTTCCGCTACTGGTTCTCCAGAACTTATCAGAACCTGCTGAATGCCACCTCTGATTACTACCTGTGGAATGGAACGTCCAGCTGCACCTCTTTCCACATCTTTTTCGGAGAGTCCTCCTAATCCTCCAGTCTTCCCCCAACCCACAAGTGTTGAGCGTTTGTGTGGGCCTCAGGAAGAAAGAAGAGAACCCCTTGTCTGTTCCAGTGACAGAACCAAGTCTGTCTACCAAACTAATAGTTGCATTCTGCTTTCATAAGATCTTTAGTTTTCGGAGGCACAAATGTTTCAGATAGAAAAGATCAGTTCGGGTTTTTTTTTTCAACAGAGACAGAAATGGCCTTCTCTTTTGCTTAAGCTTAGGGCACCAGGCTGAAAACTAGGAGACTGGAAGTTCTAGTTCTGCCTTAGGCATGAAAGCCAGCTCGGTCACTTTGACTCAATAACCAGGAAATTGTGAATTCTAGTCCTGTTTTAGGCATGGAAGCTGACTGGGTGACTTTGAGCCAATCACCAGGAGA